CCATAACTTTCTTTTAAACAATATTTAACACAGAAATGCATTTTTAAAATATTTATTTGAAAGAGTTAAAGAGAGAGAGAAAGAGAGAGAGAGAGAGAGATTGATCTTCCATCTGCTGGTTTGCTCCCCAGATGGCTGCGACAGCCAGGACTGGAACAGGCTGAAGCCAAGGACCAGCAGCTTCACCCAGGTTCCCCACTTGGGCTAATACCTCTGCATTCCTAGGGTGCATTAGCAGGGAGCTGGATTGGAAGTGAAGCAAATGGGACTTGAACTGGCACCCATATAGGATGCTGGCACCACAGGCAGCGGCTTTACTCACTACACCACAGTGTGGGTCCCAGTTCAAAAATATTTGGGGCCGGCGCTGTGGTGCAGTAGGTTAATACTCCGGCTGCGGCGCCAGCATCTCATATGGGCACCGGTTCTAATCCCGGCTGCTCCTCTTCCAATCCAGCTCTCTGCTGCGGCCTGGGCAAGCAGTAGAAGATGGCCCAAGTGCTTGGGCCCCTGCACCCACATGGGAGACCCAGAAGAAGCACCTGGCTCCTGGCTTCGGATCGGCCCAGTTCCGGCTGTTGCAGCCATTTGGGGAGTGAACCAACAGAAGGAAGACCTTTGTCTCTGTCTCTCCCTCTCACTGTTTGTAACTTTACCTCTCAAATAAGTAAATAAAATATTTAAAAATTTATTTAATTTGTTCAAATATTTACCATTATCAAAAGTATTAAGTGATCAATTAATATATGTCATTTAATTATATTTCTCAAGTATCAATACAACCTTTATAATCTTGGTTTAAAGTCTTACGCAGAGGGGCCAGTGTTGTAGCGTCACGGGTCAAGCCGCCGCCTGCAGTGCCAGCATCCCATATGGGTGCCAGAACGGGTTCTGGCTGCTCTACTTCCAATCCAGCTCCCTGCTATGGCCTGGGAAAGCAGTGGAAGATGGCCCAAGTCGTTGGGCCCCTGCACTCGTGTGGGAGACCCGGAAGAAGCTCCTGCTTCAGATTGGCACTGCTCAGGCTATTGTGACCATCTGGGGAGTGAACCAGCGGATGGAAGACCTCTCTCTCTCTCTCTCTCTTTCTGTCTCTCCCTCTGTCTCCCTCCCCACCTCTGCCTCTCTGTAACTCTGTCTTTCAAATAAATAAATAAGTCTTTAAAAAATCAATCTCCCTCTGCAAACATGCAGCTTTGTTCCCACTGCACAGCAGTTTTGCCTGGCGCATGGGTGGAGAACAAACCAAATAGTTTATGATTTGGTCTCCTGTGGCACAGGTTGGGGACAAAGGTTAAAATGCAGTTTAGGACCACTGCATACAGTATTGCATAGCCTGGGTTCAAGTTCTGGTTCCCCTCTTGATCTCAGCTCCCTGGGAAGCAGCTGGTATTGGTTCAACTATTTGATTCCCTGCTGCCCACACAGGAGACCCGGCTGGAGATTCTGGTTACTGGCTTCCGCCTGGTCCAGCCCCAGCTGTTTGTGGACATGTGGGGAGTAAATCAGTTGATGGGAGATATCCCTCTTTTTCTAATAATTAACTTAAATTAAAAATTACATATTCCTAGGGATGGCATTGTGGCATAGCAGGTAAAGCCACCACCTGTGATGGCAGCATCCCCTATGGGCACCAGTTCAAGTCCCGGCTGCTCCACTTCCAATCCAGCTCCCTGTTAATGCACCTGGGATAGCAGTAGAAGATGGTCCAAGTTCTAGGGCCCCTGCACTCATGTGGGAGACCTGGAAGAAGCTCCAGGCTCCTGGCTTCAACCTGGCCCAGCTCTGGCTGTTGCAGCCACTTGGGGAGTGAACCAGGGGATAGAAGAACTCTCTCTGCCTCTCTCTTTCTCTGTAACTCTACTTGTCAAATAAATATATATTTTTTAAAAATCTATTAAAAATTTGATATTCCCTTGGTTTAATAGGCTACCTTAGACTGCTTCTCTGACCTGTGGTACCATCTGGCTTCTCTTTCTAGGGCTTCCCATGTCCTTCAGATGTCACACAACCTCTCCAGTCTGTCTCCTCGTGGACATGCAGTCCCGTGGGATGGAAAAACCCAGGCCCTTGGACATGCGAGCCTCCAATTGCATAGAACGGGCACATGGCACTTGGGTAGCAGCTGTTAGGACGAGGGAGAGAGCCACATGTGGCCTGGAAGCCCCAGCTCCGGTCACAGAGAGGCGTCAGAGTAGAGAATAATATCTGCTGAGACCATAATGCCCCAAAAAGCAGAATCGGACCGGAAGCGAGGGAGCAGGTGAATGGCCCGCCCGCGCCCTGTCGAGACGGGCTGGAGAGCAGCGCCCCCTAGCGGGCTTCCGATGCAACTTCAGGCCCGAAGCGGCATGTTCAGGAACTGCTGAGCCAGGGAACCGCACCCCGAGGCTTCCCGGGGCTGCGCCCAGGGGGTTCAGTCCCTGCCCCTGGCACCAGGCCGAGGCCTGGGCATGGCAGACCTTCCCTGGTCATATGTGACCCCAGGCCCCAATCGGGGCTCTGACCATCTTCTTCCACATCCCTGCTTCGTCTCTCCACTGGTAACTGTTCCCCATTGACTGAACCCCTAAGGGCTGATATCTCTCTATCTCTATCTCTCTCACATGTAAACGGCTGATATCTCTATCTCTCTATCTCTCTCACACGTAGTTAGGGGTGGGTGGGATGATGGGAGCCAGCAGAGGAGAGGAGAGGTCTCCTGCTCCCGCCCACTGCCCAGTCCTGGAGACCATCCCCACTTCAGCTTCGAAGCAGCCACAACTGGGCCACAGTCAGGTCTGACACCTCGCAGCTTCTGTCCCTGTCCACGACACTGCTGTTGTCAACCAGACTCAGACGCTGGAGTGATGTCGCTGACTCAGCACGCACCCATCCTGAAGCCATCAGGGCAGCGCAGGTTCTGGAACCTGTAGCACCACCTGAGTTAGTGTGATCTTGATTCCGGTGCCCAGGCGTGCACTCTGTGGGCATCCACATTTATTCCATGGCCTCATCTTCTCTGTGTTTTGTGGTCTTTCCAGCCGTGGCCCCCTCCCCTCCGTGCCCTCGCTCACCACCAAGACTTTCAGGAATATTTTCATTATAGCATTGTGCAAAAACTTCAGCCATGACAATAATATCATGTTCAGTTCTTTAAAAAAAAAAGATTTATGGCCGCGCTGCAGCTTACTAGCCTAATCCTCCGCCTGCGGCACCGGCACACCAGGTTCTAGTCCCAGTTGGGGCGCTGGATTCTGTCCCAGTTGCTCCTCTTCCGGTCCAGCTCTCTGCTGTGGCCTGGGAGTGCAGTGGAGGATGACCCAAGTGCTTGGGCCCTGCACCTGCATGGGAGGCCAGGAGAAGCACCTGGCTCCTGGCTTCAAATCGGTGCAGTGCCGGCCGTAGCAGCCATTTGGGGGGTGAACCAATGGAAGGAAGACCTTTCTCTCTGTCTCTCTCTCACTGTCTAACTCTGCCTATCAAAAAAAAAAAATTTATGGGGGCCAGCGCTGTGGTGTGGTGGGAGAAGCTGCCGCCTGCACTGCCAGCATCCCATATGGGCACCGGTTGGAGTCCCAGCTGCTCTACTTCCAATCCTGCTCTCTGTTATTATAGCCTGGGAAAGCAGTAGAAGATGGCCCAAGTCCTTGGGTCCCTGCACCTGCATGGGAGACCTGGAAGAAGCTCCTGGCTCCTAGCTCTTGACTCAGCTCCGGCTGTTGTGGCCATTTGGGGAGTGAACCAGCAAATGGAAGACATCTCTCTCTCTCTCTCTCTCTCTCTCTCTCTCTGCCTCTGCCTCTCTGTAGCTCTGCCTTCAAATAAATAAATAAATCTTAAAAGAGAGAGAGAGGGGCTACTGGGACAGAACTTAAGGGAATAGAGAGGTGAGGAGATGAGCGGGGTCCCTGGAATCCCTTCCTGTTTGTCTTTTCTGTCCCACCACAGGTGAGTGGGTCAGTGTCTATGCACACATGACACAACTTCCCTCAATAATAGCAAACCACGCGAGAAGAGAAGGTCCCTCCAGGTTGTTAAGGGGCGTTGTGGAGAAAGATATTAAATCCACAGACACAAGAGCCGGAAGCTTCAGAGAGGAGTCCGAGGTTGGCATTGAAGAATGAACACCATGCAGAGGAAGAGGCGTGGGAGGGTGGTGGAGGTGGAAGGGCACGAGCAGAGGCCCGGAAGCACAGACGTGCAGAGCTCATAAGCTGGGGAGAAGGCCTGGCCCAGCGTCATTGAGTTTAACACTGGATGACCGGGCAGGCCCTGTGAGTAAGGCTAGAAGGGCACCTGGGCTCTGCTCCCAGACCAGAGTCGACTTCGTGGATTTGTGACTATATCCAAAGAGGCCTCTGTGTGGGTCTTGGGGATACAGACCCAATGCACCAATGGTCCTCAGACAACTGTGCTGCCCGGGCATCCCTGTGTGTGCTAGAGAACCTCAGGACAGAGAATGGAGCCTTCCTTTCATGAAGGGGCTAAGCCTCAGTTTCCCCCGATGAGAAATGGGGACGAAGACTTGCCTGCTGCTGCTTAGGACTGCCGTGCGGGTCAGATGGTTAGGGTCGCAGGCTGTGGAGCCACCGAACAAGTCTTGCACCTGTGCTCTGCCATTTACTGGCTGTGCGGACCTTGGACACCGCTAAGGCCTTGATCCCCCGGAGCCCTGGTTCTGTTCAATGAAAGGACGGTAATGATATGTGAGACGGTGTGGCACATAGTAGGTCCTCAGTCGATATTCGCTATCGTAATAAAAAAATGATACCGCATTACATAAATGAAGATACACTGTCTGGAAACACTATGATTTGTTCCCGGAAGAATTCGTTTGAGAGACTGGATAAAGAAAGCACATAAATGCAACCCTTGAAGGAGCGAATTCCTGCACCGGCTCCAGCACAAGTCACGCCCCCCGGTCCGCGGGCAGGCCCCGCCCCCAGCGGCGTGCAGGCCACGCCCTTCTCTTCCGGCGCCGTCCCTTGCGTCCCGACGCGCCTGCGCAGGATGGGCCGCCGGCTGCCGGGGCAATGAGGGCTCTGGCGCGGCGCTGCTGGGGACAGCGCCTGGCCGGTGGGGTGGTGGCCGCGAGGCCGAGCCCCCGGTGGCGGGCACTGACCGGTGTAGCAGGAGTAAAAAGAGAAACGCCAAGACATAAAAAAGCCCACCTTTCAAGACCTCATCAAGGACGTGGGTTGTTGTGGATGTGTCCTATTTGGGGGGGGGGGGGGGGGGGGGGGGGGAAGAACCGACGTAGTTAGTCTTATACACTAGGTTTTTTTGAAGAGAGTATAGCTAAGATGAGGATAGTAATATATTTACTCTATATACATGATATGTAAAGAGATAGTAAATATATACAATAAAATGTAGAAGCAGAGAGATGTATGAACAGTATAGATGCCATTAGGATAGATCGATCAACTATATCTAAGGAAGGCAAGGTGCAGATAGAAAGAGAAGTCAGAGTATGAACGAAGTAAGCCGAGTGAGTGAGTGGTCTAGGTATGTCAGCTAGCAGTCGAATGTCAGCAGGCAGACGATGGACTAGAGCATGGAAGAGTCCATGGGGATGTACTAGGCGTGCATACGAGCGCC